AAAGGAAGGTAAATGAGGACGAAGGATGTATGATGGGGGGACCCGGAAGAAAGAACGAGAGTGGGTTGTGATAAAATGAGTGAATAAATTGATAGTATGAACGGATAAGAGCTAGTAGATTTGGTTGCTTGTCTTTTGATCCTGCTTATATATTATGGCAGCTTCGGGTAAGTGGTCGGATATTGGAGCATGTCCATGTGGACGTCCATTCAGGGCTTTTTTTTCCACTGCTTAATTTGGTTATGCAACCATCAGAATTTGGTATACAAGGTATCGAAATCTTCAGATGAAATAAGGTTCATATATAATACAGTCCAGCATATATTGTCACCAGTGTTTGTGTAACATTTGCACTAATTCTAACGTCTCTTCTTTCTTTTTTATACCATGAATTCGATCTCCCTGCTTATGTTTACTTATCAGTTGTGCTACGGATGAGAACCCAATTGTTTGAATCGACAATGATGTACATGATACAAGAACATCTTTTTCAGCCCTTGTTTAATAAAGGAACTAACCATAAATCAAATAATACATATACATAAACATGTATATATACGTACATAGTCAGTTTTTTCATTCTAGTTTTTATTTAGATATTACTCCTGCTTAATTAGTAAACCTAATTTTATTTCCTCGGTGAAAAGCGTTGTTTACCAAAATCAGTTAATTATTTAAATAAATGCTAATAAACCCCCCAACTGTGGTTAAGAAATATAGCAAAGACTGATTTTTCAGATTCTAGAATGCGACGAAATAAACGTACATGGTCGAAATATGACGTCTCGCCACGCAAATTTGAAATAGCATCGTACGTTTGACGCAAATATGACAAAACAGCAGTCATTCAACGACGCACAATAGGAAAAATTAACCAACGCTGATATTAATATTCCATTCATTTGTACTAGCGGTATTTGGGACGAGCAAGCCACAAGACCATAATAATCATCTGATCATACTAATCATTACTAACAATATCAAAACGCCACTGATACATATTATTCGTCACTTAATAAAATTATTACTAATAAAAGCATATAGAATTGTTGTACCATTCGCACCGTTCATTACACAATTAATATCTACTGTTTCACTTAATTATATACCGACTTTCCCACAAATGCATGACGCCATTATCCAGGTGTGGAGAATACTTTCGGCAAATTTTCGGTCAGCACAAAAGGGAACGGCTCTATTTTCTACTTACATGATGTAATGTTAATTGTTCGATATACCAAAAATTTAAATTTCATGCATGTCTTTCGATCACGAGTTGAGAGACTGTTCAATTTCAAAGAGGGTCATGCGGATCGTCAGTGTCTAATGATAGGAAAATTGCGGCGTTTATCGATACTCAACTCGGTTGACTTGTAGACTATATAGCCGATACCGTATACATGATACGTCGGGTCTGTTCTTGTCATCCGAATAAAGCATCTCACGCAACACATGTAGTCATATTATAGATGTCCATTGATATTATTTTATAAAAATAAAAAACTCCGACAATACATATCGATATTGAATGAACAACATCCTATTTTTGAAATATTAAATCTCTTTGCTATGGATCTTCCGTGAGAACTTGGCAATTTAATTGTTTCACCTGGATCACTGAACGGGTTCGAAATAAACCGTGGTAAAAATAATTTTGTTGGGGACAAATTCCTTAATTAAGTCAAACAGGACTCTTGTCACATATTAACCTAATAGATTGCTACGGTACTCTCCACCAATGTTATGATCTAGTCACAAAAAAAAGCAAGAAATGTGGGGAAGTGTGGGGAAATCCATCAAAGTTGGGCATCAAACATCTTCAATCTGTACTTTACTATATTGGAGTTTGTACAAACTAATTACATATGTCATAAAAATTTAGTTTTTCTCTGGCAATTTTATTTCGTTTTGTCATTTGTTCTGCTATTGCACAAAACGTCATTGATTTTCCATTATAGCAGCACAACTAAAAGCTCTTCTAAACAGTCTGGTTTGTGTAAATTATATCGTCATGACGAAACAGAGTTTGAATTATAACAACCTGATCTAACAGCACGTCTGCTTGGTTAATAGTAAGCTTTCAAGTCTTTAGTAAATTCATTTATAAAAAATCAATGTAAATAAATACAATGCTCTTTGTTTAAATAGTCTTGCTGACAGCTGTTCATCACAATCAGAAAGCTTATTTCGTGTTTTGAACTGCACAATTACATGATCATGCATTGTGTGGTCTTTGTACAAAATTTTGATTACATTATCAAGAATTTTATTATTATTATTATTATTATTATTATTATTATTATTATTATTATTATTATTATTATTATTATTATTATATCCATTTCCCCAAACCATAAATGGGACGGCGATCTATATCATTGCCCCACCTCATATACTGCTCATTTGCGAATATAGAAAAAAGTCGATGGAAAAGACTAATCCACTCGTGTCATTGTTCAACAGGCTGGTTGGCGTTAATATTAAAGATTTAAAATTCTATTAAAATTTCGGCCAATAGATCAGGCAAAGTTGATATCACAATTTTATTTCGTGCCAAGTATCTGCAACAATGACGTATATTGTGTCGGATAAACGCGATACGCTGCAAAATAATGGTGGAGTAAAATGAAATTTGAATTCCGTTTGCGTAATTTCATCTTACGCCTTCCTCCCCGCAAAACTTTTTTTCTTTACAATGCCAAGCGAAGAATCTCGGACTCTGGATATGATAAAGATGACTGGTATCACAACAAACACGTAAATGTCCTTGTCACAAATCCCTCCTGCGTCATCAGATTCATCACAAATAAAAATGAGTGATTTACCCTTAGCTATCGCTAGAAAATAAATAACAGCTTGCAACAACAATATTTGATCGCTTGATGATTGACAAGAGTACCCAGCAATTACATGCAAGCCTTGACAACAAAGGAACCATATGCAATTAAAATCGTCCATCCTTACAATGTTTTATTTATATGTTCAATCAACTTTCGCCTCGATATTAAATATACACCTACAAAAAAATAAGTTGACAATGCAAACTGCAAATGTAAAATTAATTATTTATAATTTTTATGTGCAATCATACTCGCGTTGTATAAAACGCAGATTATAAGTCCAAAGTATGTATACGCAATATGCGTCCCTCATTTGTAATTACAGACTAAGTACAGACCCGCTACTGACTAATACTCGCTTACAGCTCTTCATGTTCAGCATCCTCATTACCCTTCTTTTTGTGCAAAAGTTTTGACAAGTTAACCACGTCCACCAATTTCTTGCTGCCCAATTCAGCCACTTGTATTAATCGATGTAAATCTTCAATCTGAGAATATAAGCTATTTGATGATAGATTTTCCTCTGAAAAAGGTGATGTCTTCTCCGATTGTTCGTCTGATGTAGCATTCTCACCGTCTTCCGTATGCAGTGCTCCCCCTTTGGCGAATACTTTATTTAAAATTTC